AAATGTTCCCCATTCACGTAGGTCTTGATGAGTTCCAACCCGGCCCCCAGGTATGCGTGGTTCCCACGTACCGGCCAGCGGGAGCTTTTTGAGGGTAAGTCGCTAACTCGGGGATTAGGAAAGCTTGAATTTTAAGGGGATGTTTCTTGACAGTCCTGGCGGCCAGTTTGAATTCTTTTAGCTAGAAGCATCTACCGGAAAACCGATGCCATTAACGGCAGAAATCTGCGGGAAACCATACAAAAAACGCATCTTCGTACCGGTGTACGGCAGTCGGTGTGCTGGTTATTTATTTTTTATTGATTGTTAACGTTGCAGATTGATTTTTTTCTTTTTGTATTTTTTTGGTTTATGTTTGCGTTTCTTCTCGCTTTTGATACAGCTACGGACGTCTCCACTTCCTGTTTTAAGTATCTTTGACTCATTTTTTCATACTGCCATTTAAGTGGACCTTCTGGTTTATTTTTAACCTACTTTGGATTAATCTCTATTCAGTAATTTATTTTTTGATCTATTATTTCTTACTGTTGTATTGACCAGTCTAACTCTTCTTGGCGTACACTGCCTTGATTAATATTGTTTCTGCCTCCCTGAACTTGATATTGCCAACTCCGCATTTTTCAGACTATAAAAAAGTAGTTGTTTTCACAGTATGAGAAGTGATGCTCCCATCTTGCTTAATTCTTTTTTTATTTTTTGAAGCTAATATCGTGTCATTGACATTCTGCATTCCTTCTACTCATCAATTGTGTCTTGTTTCGCCTTAATGAGCGTTACTCTTTCTTATTTTTCCTTTGATCGTTTTTACCTTACTTTTTCTTTTACAGTCAGTCTGGGCATGTCCTTAATCTGCTATTGATAATTCAATAAACAGTCCTTCCCAAAAAAAAGACGTTGGAAAAAAATCAAAATTTTAAAGGAAAAGTAATGTTTTGATTGATTTAAGAATGAGCTTTTGAAAAAAGCCGAAAATGCTATGAAAAAGTACACGAAAACTCGACCGCAACCGTCTTCGGAATCAGTGCGCCGTGCCAAGGATGACATCAAGGATGCGCTACTCAAAGCTTCAGTTCATCCGTTTCTGCAGCAGGAAGCACCGCATGAAGCTGTCCGACACAGCTTTCTTCGAGATTTGCATAATTTCAAACCTTCCGCGGTAAGAAGCTGGTTTTTTAAAATATTCCTTATTAAAATGCTAAAAGTTTCATGTGGGAACCACTTGTTCTTTTAAGCCTCCCCCTCTCCCCCCCCCTCCCGCGTTTTTGAATCAATGTGTAGTATTTGGTGGAAGACTTTGTTTAGCAGAAATTTTTTTTGTGTCAAATTCTTTGGAACGTTTTCGGTCAGTTCCTTAGGATATCTAAACGTAAAATAGCACCTAATTTGAAACCAAATTCTACTTAATCCACACTCTGTATCCTTTGAATAAGTTGCATTCAGAAATGGCTTAGGGTGACAAATTCAAATTTAGTGTGAACCATTTGTTTTGCATCCTAATTTACCGTAATAACTTATTACTGGGAGCTTGCTACATGAATTACGATATATTTTATTCATCAAATAAGAATAAATGCCACATATTTATTAAAAAGAAAAAGAACATAATACTTGATTAATTCACTAATTCTTAGTGCTTTTGAAGGCAAGGTCATGAAGTGAGATTGTTAATAACACTGCCAAAAATTTATCGCAGAATAAGCAAGGACCGCTTGATCAAAAAAAAATCATCTCACATTAGCTTTTAACACATCTTGTGCATGTGACAGCTGTTAGGGGAGGAAGAGCTGAAGGTGGAAAGGAGCTTGAAATGGAAGGGGGGTGCAGTAGGATCAGCTTCACGGAATCTCTTGCTTTTAGCAGAAGATAGCATGAAACGTGTGGCATGCAAAAATATGAACCTATTTTGAACAAACAGGTAATAACTGGGAGATAATTATTCTCGCTTAGCACTGCACCGTTGCTTTGTTCGGGGCTCAGCTAAAATATGCTTATTGCTTTTGCTAAATGTGCTTACTGTGAATATAGTAGGTGTACTTTGTGGCCGATGAAGGGCCAGCACAAAAGTATTCATAACAAAACTGTGACACATACCTCATATTTATGTGTACATACCGAAACAGTGTTCCGTGAAATGTGTGAAACAGAAGACAGTCACTGTCATAGCGGCCTACGTAAGACTGCGTTTCATTCGTGTGAAGATCTTTGATTTTGGCGCATGAACTGGATACATATGACTGTGACTATTAGATGAGTCTATACAGAATGTGTATATCCGCTTTTGATGCGTTTTTGCATATTTATGCAAATGCGAAAGGCATATTTTGTCGATCAAAGATATATGTATATATCTTTATTATATACACGTACATATATATAATAATTATATATATGTACTTGTATATAATAAAGTGCATATATTTTTTATTGTGCTTTATGTCCATTTTGTGTGCAATTTCAGACGATATTCGAGGTGCAGAGCAACAGCAAGGCATTGCCAGCAGCTGTTATGAAGGCAAAACGTCGGGCACATAACAAATTTATTCGTTCAAAAAGCGAGTCGAACGCGGAATCCCGTGATTCTCAGAGTGCTGAAGCATCCACTGTAACATGTGAAGCTAGCGACGATTTCTTGGTAAGCATTATACAGCTTGTACCAAAAACTGAAGAATCCTGATCGCTGGTGCAGCAGCGCCATCACTGCATCAGATCGAGTTTGAAAACCAGCAAAAAGAAGTGATAGGCTTCTCAGAGCAAATCATGTTAAATTACCGAAACTGGCAGTTGATGTCATAGTTATCGGCTACACCGTTGGTGAACGTCTCGAGCATGAAACAATGGCGAAATAGTAGACGCTCGAGATGCTATTAGCAATATTGTAATAAAGTTTTTATTTATCTCTAAATGAAAATGATAAGTTGTTTTACGATTTTTTCAAAAAAAAAAAAAAAATAGTGAAGAATCATGGAAGAGATTTTATAGATTTATTTTTTGCGGATTTTTTCCTTGCCTCGCTTGCCCCCTTTTTTGCATTTTAAACTTGCTGACATTTTGCTCTTTTTTTTCAGTGGTTTTGTTTAGA